TCTTTCCAGGGTATAACCTGTCTTTGCATTTACCTGGTTATCGCCAGTCTTCTTTGATCAGAATGTGATAGACCCACATGATGAGGTCAGGGCCTGCTTACCCCCCACTGCCTCCCTAGTACCCCAAAATACCTGACACACTAAGTTTAGCAGATATTTTCTGGGATCCTTTGGAGATTTGGTTTTGTTGTTTAGAGACAGGTCTTACTCGGTATCCAGGCTGTCTTCAAACTCGTGCCTATCATCTTCCCTCTGCCTCCTAAGTGCTGAGATCACAGGCATGAGCCACCACCCACAGCTAAGAAATAAAGCTTTTTAAAAAGACACCAGGCTGGTCTTGAATTTGAGAGATGGCCAAAGAACCTTGATCCTCCCATTGCTAGGATTACAGGCAGGGCACCACCATGCCTAGCTTATGTGGGGCCAGGGATCGAATCCAGGCCCTTGTTCATGTTACCAACGCACTCTGCCAACAAAGTTACATCCTCAGCCTGCTGTTTGCTGTTGTTTTGAGGTTTATCCACTTATTGAGACAGGATTTCTATATATTTAAATTATACATATAGTTCATTATTTATTATAATTATATATATGCTGTTGAACTCAAGATCTGCCTAAGTACTGGAATTATAGCCATGTCTAGTCAGAATATTTTCTGAAAGAATGAATAACAGACCTAGGATTGTGTTTAAACAGTAGAACACTTGCCTAGCATGTACAATGTTCCAAGTACAACCTGCAGCACAGAAAAGAAAAAAATCCACCTGTCAGACCTGGACTCATATTTTAGATCAAGACATGAGCAAATTATTTTGCCTCTCTCGGCCTCAGTTTACCTGCCTATAAAATGGGGGAGATAAGCCTGCTTAGCAGGAAACCCTGTGCCCTTCCCTGGTCAAGACCCAGACTGCCCTCCAGCCCCTGGGAGACAGACAGAACTTGCCATGTTGGAGGAGGCACATTTAAGCTATCTTAGAGAAAAGCAGGGAGGAGAGAGGTGATGGAGGCTTGGCTTTAGGAAGGAGTGAGATGCGCATGATTAGAAATGGGGACATGCTGGTCCCTGCCGGACCCTAAGCCTTACTGTCAGACAGTACTTCATAGGCCTCTGCCACCTCCTTAAATTTTTTCTCAGCAAACTCCTTATTATCTGGGTTCTTGTCCGGGTGCCACTGTAGAGCCTTCTTCCGGTACCTGCAGGAGAAGTGAGAGGAGCTGGAGAGTCAGGGAACTGACGTGGGTTCTTCCCACTAGGCAACTGAACCACACTCTCTTAGTCCACCCACCCTTTCACTGCTCTGATCCAAGAACGCCCCGGGACTGCAGCCACGTTTACAGGGGGTTCTCTCCCAGCTCTGTGCCAGGGATATGAGCCGAGAGTAAAGGTGCCAGAACAATGTCCCCACCCAAAGCCCTCCCTTGGAGCTCATTGGATAGAGCTATCTAGAGCCACAGAGTGTGGGGACACTGGCCTACCTCACAGAGCCCGGGCATTTTAGCACTGCAACCTGAGCATGCCCACATGGAGGAGCTGGAGGAGAGGGGTATCTGGTGGGTGTGTTCAGCGGGCTCTGAGACGGACAGCACTTCTTCCCTCCCTGGCCACGGTCCTCGTAATTTCCCAAGGGTCCCCTCCCTCCCTCCAGGCAGCCCTCGAAAGGGCCCCTGGCGCTGGGGGTGGGGGGCGAGGGTAGCGGGGAAGAAGAGACAGAGGCTTTCTGCAGCACAGTAGAGGCACTTACGCCTTCTTGATGTCATCAGCAGACGCACTCGGCGGTACGTCTAGAATCTCGTAGTAGGATGCCATGGCAACTCAGCCCTCAGGCGGCCCTCCTCCGGGCTGCGGGAGAGAAGGGATCAGGCCGAGTGAAGCACGGCGGGTGCGGGGCGGGGGAGATGCAGAAGGCGGTGCGAGGTGGATGCCGCGCCTGCAGCCGATGATTAGGCACCTTCACAGCCTTATCGGGTCCCGCAGGCCCGTGCCCGGGGTTATTTCGCCGCAGGCCTAGAGAGCCCAACCCGAACCCCCTGACTCCAGCAGCCCGATCTGAGGTCCCCAACCTGACCCAGCTGGGGCCGCACCTCCTCTGCCGAGAGTCCCGCCCCTGCCCCCCGCGGGGAACCGCCTGGCACCCGCAGTCCCGCTCGCGGCTGCTGCGTGCAACGCCAGGCTGGGTTGTGTGCGCAAGCGTGCGTCAGCACCGCGGAAACTACTAGAGACCTAGAGAGGGCCGGCTAGGCCGGTCACACTGGAGGGGGAGGAAGAGGGGGCGTTGCAGGGACTTCTGGGAATGGGGGAGGAGCCGTCTATTTTAGTTTTGCACCCAGGCAACGTCATTCCCAGGTGGGACTCGGAAGACTGAAGTTTGCTACATCCTTCCAGCCATGTCGCACTCCCTCAAACACAGGCAGAGAGGCCGTCCGCAAACTAGGTGCGGGGCCCCTTGTCTCTCTGTCGCTGTCATCGAAATATACTTCATTGATCCCTAAGTACTCCCCCAGGCCATCACCACCAGGACTCACCTAGTCTCCTCTGGGCCTGACTCCTCCCCTTCTTCATAGCCTAGCTCCAGCCCTAAGTCTTCAAAAGAGGCTGCCCTGGCTCTCCTGAGTAGGTCAGACCTGCTTTTTATAGCGTCTCGTGGCATTTCCTTCTTCACTCTTTTCAGAGCCACAAATTAACATTTATTTGATGATTATCCACCTCCTCCACTAGAATGTAAATTCCCAGGATGTAAGAATTGCATCCTCCTCCTCATTGCCTCCCCCCCCCCGTCCCCTCCCCGTTTAGTCTTCAGTTAGAGTTGAAAAATATCACCTGGATGGCTAAATAATACTTGGAAGAATCTTGATAACAGTTTGACACATAGGAAAGATGAGGGCCTAATTAAAGGAAATTACTAAATTCAAAGTTCCTCTTCTACAGCTGGCCCTGAATAGATCTATTCCACCTGAAAATGATTCCTGGATTCAGACCTCATGAAAGAGGGAAACTTCCAGACCCAGCTCTTGCTTTATTCAGTCTGACCAATCCCTGGGCATTAGTGGAGTATCTTCTATCTAGTGGATGCTACCAGAATGTACTAAGAATGGGGACGGGGTGGGTATGGGTAGAGTACTTGCCTAGCAAACATCAGGCCTTCCTTAGCCTCAGTTCCCAGCACTAGGAGAGAGATAAGGGGAGGGGGCACAGAAAGTGACCTAGTGCCTGCTAAGACAGCAGCCTGTCAGCAGTGTCCCCTGGGAACCTCGGGACTCTAAGAGCTGGGAGACCTGGCCTGGCAATCGGATGCTGCTGTGTGGCTTGGGGCCGACCGAGTACTGTTTTCCTCTTTAAATATAGGTAGCATCTAGAGCTGTTTGAAAGTCTTCATCTGAAGCATGCTTTATAGAAGGTGTTCTTAGTTAGCACAGTGCTTTCTGGGGTCACACTTGACCTACTTAGTAAGAGTTATATGAACCCGGTCAGGATGAGAGACCTGGGGACATCACATAAATAAAAACAAAACAAAACAAAACAAAACAAAAAAAAAAAACAGCTTGAGCAGGACACGAGAGAAGAAGGCATCAATCTCAATCGCTCGTCCGTTTCTCCTGCCTGCCCACCTTCTGAATTACCTGCTTACATTTGGAAAATTCCCACCGACATCCAGGGAACTTTCATTGTTTCAGCCCTAATAAGAGATGCGGCATCTCCCAGGGAACCTTGAGGCTCTCACACGCTTCCCCGGTCTGAGGGTACGAGCACAAGTCACGAGCTCTGCCAATGAGGTGCCCGTGGTAAGTGGGACTTCAAATCTGGAGCAAGGCAGGGAGAAGGGAAGGTGGCTAAGAATTTCTCTATGTGTGGCGCAGGTTGCCATGGGGCTTGCAGCGGCCTCTTGCGCCTGAAGGAGGAAGTGTCCGTCTCCATGTTGAGGGCAGAGGATCCCTGCAGCAAATGGAGGGGACCATCTTTGGTGCTGCTGCTTGCTGGGGTTTCACTGCCAGCCCTTGCACTGACTGAATCAATGTATAAACGCCATACGCTTCTAATTTGAGGGTGATTCGAGAGAGGGAAATGGTTTAGTATAGGGGTTGG